AGTATGTAGTGTCTCTACTTTAAAGAGTCCTCTCCTGCTGATGTTCAGGTGTATCCTCATTGACTCACAGCCGCCCTGAGGTTTTATAGTGCGGTGTGTAATTACAAATAGAAAGGCTCGCTGAACGTTTCGGTATTCATCCGAGCGGCATGCCTGCAAAACAATCGCTCCTTTGTGATCCGGTGCTAAATCACAGCGCAGCAGAGAAACCCTGGAAGCAAGGGTCTGGTTCCTGTGACGTCGCGGGTCACTGCTACTAACTTCTTAACTGTATTTGTACTGGGTAGTTCCTATGCTACATTCCTTACTTCTACTGCCCTCACTGACTTTAGTTACTCTACATATGTTGGTACAGAGAGAGAGGGGGGGGAAAACACATAAACCAGCTGAGAGAACATACATGTTCAGAGTACTAAACAGTGTCTCTACTTTAAAGAGTCCTCTCCTGCTTATCAGTATGTGTGATCAGTATGTAGTGTCTCTACTTTAAAGAGTCCTCTCCTGCTGATGTTCAGGTGTATATCAGTATGTAGTGTCTCTACTTTAAAGAGTCCTTTTTCAGTCTTATTATCAGAGTTTCTATCAATAATCACCAACTTCCTGCAAGTGGGTAAAGATTTGCCCCCAAAAAAATAAAAGGTTATATATTAAGCGGCTGGTAACGTCTAAACATTCACTATCCATGTCAGCAGGTGGACGAAAAAAGTGAATATTCCACCAAAGACCCGGGAACATTAAGCCTACGCTTAGATCTACATTCAAAATGAGTGGAAATCCATGAGTGACCTTTAATTAAATACAATTACAATCCTAATCACTGCACGAACTCTGCATGAGAATTTGCAGTGTGGACTCTCTCTCTATTCCTGGAAGGACACGCGGTGCTAAAAAATACAGAAATAACCCACACACACACTCTCACACACACACTGGATGAAAGGTCACAGCGTGCCTCTTGTTTTCCTGGAGTTTAGACGCAGACTTTGAATCTCGCAGGCCAACAAGGGGAACATCAAGGTTAGCAAACGCAACACAGATTAAGATACCAGGGAGAAAAGAGAGAGGGGGATCATGGGAAAAAGGTTTGAGTTTGAAGCGTTTATGAAAAGATTCAACAGACGGAGAGTTTTGATCCACGAGAACTTCTGACAGAAAAACATGAGAGGAGGAATATCAAGCTTTTGAAAGTAGGGGGTAAATGTTCAAATGGTGGCGGCTACAGAGAGGTCAGGGGAAATTAGAATAAGTGAGCGTTACACTTCATGTTATCTGCATAGAAAGGTCCAGGAATGAGTCCTTAAACCTGGAAATGATTTCCCTGGTGTCTACGTTTGTAATGTGTTTTTTCTGAAGAGATTTTCACGTTTTAAACTATGACTAAACATCATCCGACCAACATTAGCCACCTTTAGCTTAGCGGTGGTGACGTGAAGTCATGTGACCGTGCTGTAGTTCCTTTATAGCCCAACATTAGCCTCCTTTAGCTTAGCGGTGGTGACGTGAAGTCATGTGACCGTGCTGTAGTTCCTTTATAGCCCAACATTAGCCGCCTTTAGCTTAGCGGTGGTGCCGTGAAGTCATGTGACCGTGCTGTAGTTCCTTTATAGCCCAACATTAGCCGCCTTTAGCTTAGCGGTGGTGACGTGAAGTCATGTGACCGTGCTTCCAGATTCCCTCCCACTCCAATAATACAAGGTTGAAATAAAGAGGAGACAGGAAGTCCTTACCAGAGATGGGTCCTCTGTCTCGGACCCCAGTGATTGGCTGAAGTCTTCGGTGCTCAGAGAGAGATTGTCCTCGTCTTCCTCTTCCTGGTTAGGCTCCTCGCCCAGGACGGGGAAGACGGAGAGCCCGCCCACTTCTGCGTCCACCATCCCATCCAAGCTGTCCGTCAGAGCGGCGAGCAGAGCGGCGTTTTCCTCCTGAAGGAAACACAGAGAGAGAGAGAGCTTTTAAAGAATATCGTATAAATAACCCAATTTGTGTTCTTTGAACCTGAAAAGGATATGGCATTGTTTTTGTTACTTTCATTGCAATTGTATACATGTTTTAAGCGTAATTTAGCTTTGAAGTTCACTTGTTTAATGGTATGCTACAGTGATGCTAATATGGATGTAGCTTACATGTATTTGTTGTTTTGTGTCTTTGTGTTGCTCTTACGTTGGTTTTTGGAGTTTTCAATTCATTTGAAATCATCAGTCAAGAGTACGACCATCTTTCGGAGGGATATGCTACATATCGTTTGTTTGAGATCATTTTCTGCAATAATCCAAAATCACATGCAGGCTGTTTTTGGAGCGAACCATTGTGATGCTAACTTCCGGGGGTCGGCCTACAAAAACACGTCATCACTGAACCATACAATAATCTCTCTATTAATCCCCTTTAACTCCAGTCTAATCAGCTGCTATCTCAAGTCCATTCTTCTTTGAGTTTTTTCTTATAATTAGATCTTTTTAACAGAATTTGACTTTTCTCTAAGAATTTCACTTTTTTGAAATTTCTGACTTTTTTCTTAGAATTTCACTTTTTTTCTCAGAATTTCACTTTTTCCCAGAATTTGACTTCTTTCTAAGAATTTGATTTTTTTTTACAGAATTTAAATGTATCTCATTATTTCACTTTTTTTTTAATTGGACTTTTATTTTCTGCTACATGTATAATCCAAAATCACATGCAGGAATCCCATTGGCTGTTTTTGGAGCGAACCATTGTGATGCTAACTTCCGGGGGTCGGACTACAAATACACGTCATCACTGAAGAACTCTTGTCATTCAAGAATCTCAGTATGAATCCCCTTTACCTCCATTCTAATCAGCTGTTGTCAAAAGTCCATTCCTCCTCTCCTACCTGTTATTTGTTTACATGCTGATCCTCTGAACTCATTGACAGTTTGATGATGTACCACCAGTCGGCACTAACTGCCTCTACTGTGTCTTAGTTTCTCATGATGTTGCACAAGCTGCATGTCATGGTCTCAATTTGCAGATGCAGAAAAATACAATCTTTCATTTCAGCCATGATGCCTCTGTGGGTTTTTACTGGTGGAGAGAAATTCGACTTTTCTCTAAGAATTAGATTTTTTTCTAATAATGTTTTTTTTCTCAAAGTTTGACCTTTTTACATTTCTGAATGTTTTCTAAGAATTAGATTTTTTTCCAATAATGTTTTTTTCTCAAAGTTTGACCTTTTTACATTTCTGAATGTTTTCTAGGAATTGCAAAAAATTCTTGCATAATTAAAAACATTTCCTCAGAATTAGATTTTTTTCTAAGAATGTATTTTTTTTTTCCTTTTTTATTTGACCTTTTTCAATTTTTCTGATTTCTTTCTAAGAATCTATTTTTTCAAAAAATTTACCTTTTTAAATTTCAGATTTCTTTTCTAAGAATTAAAAAAATTCTCGCAGAATTTGCTTTTCTTCCCAAAATTTGACTTTTTTCTGTAAAATGTAACTTATTTTCATCAGAATTAAATTTCTTTTTCTCACAATTTGACCTTTTCATATTTCTGATTTCTTTCTTCCCAAAATTTGACTTTTTTCATATAATTAGATTTTCTTCCCAGAATTAAACTTTTTTCTCAGTTTTCCAAATGTAACCTCAGAAAAAAAATTAAATCACTTTGCTCATATTTAAAAAAAAAAAATTCAACGGTGACCATTATCCTGTTCTGTATAATAGCAAGTTAAAGAGTGTTGGGAACATTCTGAATTTACTCTTTCAATCTGAGAGTAACATGGTAACAAAGGTATCCCAACTGTAGCTGTGCACATGACAGGATGTGTGATTACCTAGCGA